GAAGGTCGTAAAAGACACTGGGAGGCATTCAAGATCGCCCAAAGGCGCAAGGTTGAGAGAAGGAGGGATATCGATACCCAAAAAGACGAATATAGGAGATATAAACTCCAGGAACTGGATGGTGACTACTACCAGCGGCGGCAGCTGAGGTTAATGCAGGTTGATCGAATTGAATATCTTATGGCGAGTGAGGAAAAGGAGTGGAGATATCAACGCACAAGGTATCTTGAATATGAAGCCTCAGCCGTAAACTTCAGTTCATGTATATCCTTCACGCTGGCGTTGCTAGCCGTAAGTGCACCCCTGTGGCTTGGCCTATTCATCCGCTGCGTATGGAAAGGAGCACAAGAGAGTTTCGGGAGATTGTTCAGCATTAAGGATGTATCCTTCTAGGTAACTGCTGCTACCCAGCTGGTGTATAAGCTTAGCTTAACTAGATGGTTAGGACCGCCTTCTGTGAGTTACAAAAATTATCGTTGAGGTGGGGTTATTATGAGGTATGGTAGACCACGCCGAAGGGCGCCTGGGGCTGCTTACTAAAGAGATAGTTATTCCACGAGCGAAGCTCTGGGATATTCTCGTCTTCAGCGATTCTCTCGTGTTAGAGCTACCCAATCAGATCAAACTGTCTACGTTGGCCTGAGCCGTTACAATCGCACCACCCTGCCTGAAGGCGAGTCTGGTCGCAAGCGCTTCCCTTTCAAGAATTTCACGTACATTTTAACTTATCTTTCGATCACTCTACCTGTGCGCGATCGGTCTCCAGCGAGTATTTAGCTTTATATGAAATTTACCACACATTTAGAGCTGTATTCCCAAACAACTCGACTCCTCGAAGGAGCTTCAGAAGGACGCGAACACCATATCCAGAGGGATTCTCACCCTCTCCGACGGCCCGTTCCAGGGCACTAAAAAAGGGGCCGCACCCTAAGCATCCTCTGCAAATTACAATGCGGACTCTGAAGAAGCCAGCTTTCAAATTTGAGCTCTTCCCGCTTCACTCGCTGTTACTGACGCAATCCCTGTTGGTTTGTTTTTCTCCACTTATTGATATGTTAAAGTTCAGCGGGTATCCCTACCTGATATGAGGTCAACCTGGAGAAAAAAATGGTTGCTTTCGTGTCGGCCAGCGCCAGTCGGGCCCGCAGAGCAGTGGCACAGCCCCATACGCTCGAGGACCTGACGCGGTGCCGCCACTGCCTTTCGGGCACGTTCCCCCTTCCCCCCGGCCCTGTCTCCACTAGTTGATTGCGACCCCATTCCGTACGGCAAACTCAGAGGGCGATCCTAACCATCTAGTAAAGCTTATATACAGAATTAAGAAGAGAAATAGAAGTTTTAGATTTGTGAGTTTTGTTTTCATATTCTACCTCCCACAACTCTTTTTGTTGTTTGTAAGAATCCCAGAGCTGTGTATCCTTGTCGCCAAACTTTACCTAGTAACGAGGCCGTTAGTTCTCCCAGGTATTAAATTGTCATTTTATTAGCCTCATGCATTGAGGTATATTAGTATAATCGTTCTGTGTCTTGCTTTGGTGTAAAGTATACTGGTTAAATACTGTAATTGCCACAGAGTGGATAGTAAGCAGGTAACTGCACGGCTTGTCTACAGCCCAGCATGACCAGAGACCCTCGTGTGTATGCTGTGTGGTTATTGCAATTTGATTCCAACAGTAGGAAAACCCCATTCTACCAATCACCCCATAACTACCGGTAGTACATATGTTCATTTAGCTGATAACCTTCGTAGCGTATCTCATCTTGATGTTTTTGGATCCCTCTCTCCTGTTGAACCAAAACACAGGGGCATGTAAATGGAGCTCAAACAATCACCATATACTGAGCCTATTATTCCAAATTTCTTGCGGATCATACATCGTTTATTCATCAATAGTATCCAATGCAAGCCACAGAAGCTGAGGCATGAGAATAAAAGGCACTAGTCTCCGGATTAGCTCTTTAGAGGGTGCTATGTTATGGAGATATACTGTACGTCTCTGTTACACCCACGACAGAAACCGTTTTCATATCGTTCAGGACCCTCCAATCGAGATAGAGAACATCCGAATATCCAGCATGGTAGAATGCTCGCACAAATGCCTGAAATGTAAATTAGCAGTAGAAATAAATATGTGTATCTTGCATACATGTTATGATATCAGCGCAGTAGCCATCGAAGAACTTAGAAGACCACTCTCTCTCTCTTATCGTCCAACAGACCACCTTGTCTACGAGTGCTTGCCTAATCAAGTGAACAAAGATACTGTATAAAGAGATATAGGGAGGGTTGACTTCATGAACCTTTAAAGAGCACATTTCATAACTCACAATACTTTCGGAAACTATAAGTTAAAAGCGCTTTAAGAGGAACTAAACGTATAAATTTTCATCATGCTTACAATTATAGCCCAGAAAAAGAAACCTGACTTAGTATTTAATGTTGGGTTAATGTGTAAACAAAACTAGGTCAAGTGCACTCCAACTGGTACTTTCGCTCTCGGGCAATCTTACAGAGGATATGAAGCAGGCGAAGACACCATTCAGTTGCTCTAACCTTTAAAAATGGATGCCGAGCATTTGATTAGCAGTGACTCCAAGCAATTCGTTCATTAATTCCTACCTGAAGAAGGGTTTTTGTCGTTGCTGTAGGTGGAGCACCTGCAAAGTCTTCAGTAAGAAGGCCGGTTGTACCCCTCATATCAATATTCTCCTCCACTCTGAGAAGTTTCCGGGCTATATGGCAAACAGCCTGGATATCCCGAGATTTACCTAAGGGGTTGGGCTTTTGCAGTATGCTGTTACCAAAGCCCGCTGCCAAGGTTAGCCTCAACTCACAAGTCGTGGGGAAACGTATACGTACCAATTTTCACCTCTCCTTGTATTAATCTGATAAATCGCAGGAGGCCATATGAAAAGAGGTCACGATCGTTGGTGACCCTTTGATTATTAAAAGGATGATTGATTATCTCTATCGTGAGGACTATGATGACACTTCCAAGCTCACCATCGAAGAACAAACCTGAAGCTCCCCGGAGCAAGTGGGTACTTCCGGTATGGAAGGCAAGATATTAGAAACGAAGGTCTTGATTGGTGAACACAATGATCCCACAATCTCTACCTGGAGCACTGAACAAGCCAAGTCACATATCAATTTATATTGTTGCCGACAAATACGCCATCAATGGACTTATGGACCTCGCTAAGAAAAAGATTAGAGTTAAATCTAACCCATCAGTGGAAAGACGCTTCCTTTATTCAACTTGTTAAAGTATGTCTATGGGCCGTATGCTCCTGCAAATTCGAATTTGCAGGATGCAGTAGCATCATTTACCACCTGACATATTTCCACTCTCAAAGAATTACAAAGCTTTCACTAAATCTGCAAGATGTCCCCTCATTTTGTCTACAAATTCTCAACTTTGTTGATGGAGAGGGTGGTACAACTGGAGACGGAATTATGGTAGGCCTCTACGTTTTCCTAAGCCTCCTAGTCGTGAAACTGAACGAGCGTGTCTGTCAGTAGTAGAAAATCTACTAATCTGGTTGTAGAGCAGGTTTTTGCCAGCCTTGGACAGTACATATGTGAAAGCCCCTACTATTGCGGGCTCATATTATACAACAGGTAATGTTTTTCCGATCACCAATTAGCTTTTTATACATCCTAAATGATTCTTTCTGTATCTAGCAATCCCGGCAGAGCCAACACGCCCTGGCACCATCCCAGACTGCGGCCGGTATTACAAAGTTGTTGCTGGCGATGAAGTGAGTGAACTACCCCAGAATATTTAATACACTAACTCTGACCACAATGATGGTGTAACACAGTGGCTCTTCGCTTGTAAGCGTTTTCTATGGGCGACTTGTCGCTTAACGATACTAACTGGCCACAGTGGGATTACATTTGCCGATTATCAGAACATGAATAACTACGTAAGTTTTACCATGTCCAGATGACCAGATGAGTCAAATTAACCGGGGCCGTTTTCTCTAGCTGTGGAGTAATTGTACCAACCTATGGCTAAATTACGATGTTTGCGTTGCTCCAGTTACCAAGACTATGATATCAGAAGATGGCACATGTGGCCCATCCTATGGTAACACAGCCTGTGAAGGAAGCTCATTTGGAAAGTGAGTCATAAAGAAAGCTAGACTCAGCACAGTGAAAGGCAATCACCACTGACGTACTACTTTATGAGTAGATGCTGCTCAATAGGCGGGTATTGTGGCAACACCGCAGAATACTGTAGTCCAGGAAACTGCGTCTCCGGGGCGTGTGAGGCAGGAGGCAACACTGCCACTCAAGACGGGACTTGCGGTCCTGACTGGAAATACACAACGTGTACCAATCCAAGATTCGGCTCGTAGGAACCCCCCCCCCCACTCTCTAAACATCGCCGCTTAATCTTCAGCCATAGCTGTCTAGAATTCGATCCGATGCTAACTTAATCATTCACACAGGTGCTGTTCTATCGATGGTTATTGTGGGAGTGGAGCAGAGTTTTACGGGCCTGGTCGATGTTTTTCGGGGGATTGTGATGATGATAACGGTGGCCCGAGTGTGAACGGCGAATACGGGTCCAGCTTTGTCGGGAACAAGACTTGTACTGGGACTCAATTTGGTAAATGCTGCTCGGTATCCGGGTACTGCGGAAGTACGGATGAGTATTGTGGTCATGGTTCCTGTTATTCTGGCGATTGTGCTAAGCTATGAATATATCGAGTCAACAGCAGTGGTATATTGAGCCTTCACAGTTGGGACTCTGCTTGGTGTCTGAAGTGAAGATTCTAATCATACCACTCTACCGATTATGAATACTCCTTGTCTCTAGTAAGCTTTAAAGAGATTCCAATACATAGGTACAACCTATACCACTCAATTTGGGCAATGTGCCATAGATAGCAAAGATACTAGTCCGGAAAACATGGATACGGCCACAGGATGCATTGGATTTTCCACTTAGTGGGTAGCAAAACCGGGAAAATCATAATGTAACATGAAAATGATTAGTGTGGCCTTTGCCAAGAAACGAAACGCAATCGATTATATATCGCCTCTCTCCCCTTCTCTTATTAAGTTCTTAAAATTGGCCCTGTTCGATCCCAAGGATGGCCCCAGCGATTGGACAGATAGACCTGCTCTATTTTACTGGATAAGTAGTCTCAATGACCCTGATGCGTTCTTCGAGACCTGGGTTGAGGAATTATACCCCGGTCGGTTTGTGTGGCTCTATTGCGCCACAGGGTATCTCATGGGCGATGAGAGGGGTATTTTGTAAGAGCGACAAGCGCCCGTTGACCACAATATGTAATATAGCTAATAAGCGATGATCTAGGTACGACCAGGAAGAATCTCTAGCAGCCTTCGTAGGCTATAAATTCGAGGAGCGTCCAATGTGTATCCACGGCTGGGGATTCAAGCCACTAGAGGTCATTCTCGAATCCTATCTCGACATGATTGACGAAGGCAAGGTCACCCTGATGGGTCCTGACCCTCCGAACTGGCCGACCCCTATTAAGCCATGGGTTCTCCATTCATATACCAACGTCGATGTAGAGAAAGCCTTGTCTGCTATGCAGAGACTCCTGGAGGCTATTGAGGCCCGCCAACCATCCCGTGAAGCAGCTGACTCCTACAATCCTTGGTCCGACCCAAGCCTGCTTGCCTCAATCAATCTACCACCAAATACTTTTGCGCATGACTTTCTCATGGGTCTCTCCACACAAAAGATCCCCTTTCGCTATATTGCACCTGGCATTCGACTACCAACTGTCGCAGAATTCGCCAACCAACCTTACCTCGGCTCCTATCCAACGAATGATCCAACATCACTGCCCCTGCTTCTTTTCTATACGGATGGTGAGAAGGGCCTTGGCCATGGGCTTCATCCTCTTTCCCCACCGCCCCCGCCACCGACCTCTCAACCACGTAGCGATACTCCAGAGATCCCAGCTGGGGTATATATAGAAACTATCCATTCAAGGACAACCCGTGCCTTTTCGAATGCGTGTTATCTTCTCTTACCTTTCAAGGTTGGGGAAAACGGGTGGACTCGCACTAGCGATGGAGCTCAAACTGGGATAGTGATAGAAGATGAAGAATCCCAACCTAAAGGCGATGATGAGAGTCTCTACCAGTCGGGACTCAACGGCTTCAATGATCGTAGTAATGTTCAGTTAGATAAAGTACTGATACGATGGGCGCAGATGGTGGAGGCTGGTGAGTGGGAGATTGGAGATGATGGGGTGGTTGACAAAATTCAAAGGTTCAAGGATGCTGATACGGAGATGCATTGGTATAAGTATTGCATTCCACCTAGTTGGTGAACTGTCTCGTATATTAATATCTACAGTTCTATATAGAATTTCCAGACTAGTCAATATACCAATACAGTACTGTTAGAGAATCTGATTAAGAGATTTAATCTGTATATTAATAATAAACTAGATATTCTTACCAGGTCTAAATAGACTTTGGATATCTCAATTATTAATCTAATAATATTAAACCCAGAGCTAGGCCCCTTAACTAGCTGGCTAGTTAATAATAAATACTCTACAGAATCTGATTATAAGCTAATATTAGCTGAATAGGAGAATCTAAAATAAAGACTATCTATAGAAATCAGTATACAGGTAACTAGATAGTAAGTTAAAAATCTAGAAATAGATCCAGAAGTTCTGGAAAATATTAGATAGATATAGAAGACTCTAGTAACTAATTAATCTACTCTACTAGATAGCTGTAGCAAGGCTAAAGTAGAAGGTAAGACAGTAGAGCTATAAACAGCTCTGACAGAGGTACTGAGTACATATACAAGGCCTATACAGATAACCCTATTCTCCAAACAGTAGTAGGGGCTGCAGGTTGAAGCTAGTCGATGAGAATATACATAAATTAAACAGATATAGATAACAGATCTAGACACTGATCAGGATCTAAAAAGGGCCCGGAATAGCTACTATTAATCTATTAGAAAGACAAAGTACGAATACTAGGAGGTCTTTCTAACAGGGCAGTCAAGCAAGCTGTAGACAGAGACTAGACTAGATTCTGGGGGCTCAACCCGATACTGGCAGGTACTAAAATACTGCAGATCCCAGACTACAGAAACTATATGTCACAGATCCGATGATGACCCTGCATGATGACTGTATCGTATACCCTGCCCGTTGTGCATATACAGCTCGGAGGCCGAACGGCGACGACGGATCACATATCCGTTGACTTTTCAATAGCGTATAGTAGCTCCTTGTCAGTCGTATCTTGTTAGGAGAATAAGGGGCTTCTTCCGGATATAAAGTTAGCCTAATGTTAATGGAAGAAGGGGGCAAGAATCAGTCTTCTGTCTGCCTGATATCTACTGCTTAGCTTTCGGCCTACGTACCCTTACCTAGTTGACAGGTCTTCTACCCTGAATAGTAGATATTTCTCTGACAGTATACTACTATATCTGCCTATACAAGACCTGCAGGACAGAGATATAAGTACAAAGTCTATACCGAGACTGAGGGCTATTACCAGATCTAGTCCAGTATATTCAAATAGCTGTAGTATAGACAGTTGTACTATATAGGATAGAGCTCTAGTAAAAGAATCAAAACAATAGACTGAAAGAGATTCAGTATCTGGTTAATTAATAGATACGCGCGATTATAGATATACTTAAGGACTATATCTCTTAAACGATTTATTAAAGAAGCAGCCCTATCTCCAGTAGAAGTGCTACTAGATAGATACCAGAGACAATATAGCCTAAGACTACTAGGACTGTCTGAGAGATATCTAATATAGGCTATACTATCTATCAGCTTCTGCATGAGAGAGACTGCTATACATAGCCCAGAGAACAGTCCTTAGACAATTAAATATAGGCTATCGTTCAGTAGCTGAGCTGTCGGCTCAGTTGCTAGGCTTCTGTGTTTTGTGATTACGAATTACTCAAAGGAAAAGAGATCGTGGCTATAGTGGAATATTAGATTAGCACTGGTGAATAAATGTGTAAGGATAGTAGAAAGACCTTTAGAAGCTGCTCTTAGAGCATCAGTTCCCAGTTCTCTCCAGTCAACTTGAAGCCTAGTAGCTCATGATCTTCGGCCTCTATAAGCTTATAACCTTCCTTTCCGTAAAGGTATCTTGCCGAGTTGAGGACGCTGTTTGTCCACAGGCGTATCCGAGAATAGCCCACATTCCGGGCGAATTCCGTGCATTTTTTGATCAATGCACGACCGAGTCCGAGGCCTCGTGCGCTTGGTTCCACGAGGAGAAGACGTAGTTTTGCTGCATTATCTTCTGACTCCCTGTCTTTCACTAGCATAACGCAGCCAAGGAACTCTCCATCACGTTCAGCGACCCAGCAACGTTCTGTTTCGGGGTCATAGTTGTCAATGAAGTCGGCAGTCACCCTAGCCACCAGCGCCTCAAAACGTTCATCCCATCCAAACTCTTTATGATATAGAACTCCATGTCGATATACGATCCATCCCATGTCCCCAGAACGGTGATTCCGCAGGATATAAGACGGATTTGTGGCTGCTGCAACACTTCCCATTGCAGTGGTATGTATATTGCTGTTGATTGGCTATATATATGATTTATAAAAGTCAGAGAGATAGGAAAGACGACAGACCCCAAAACAAAAGGACGAGATGTGTGCAACAACAAATTCAGCAAGAGTTAGAAATAGAGAATGGTAATACCGGGCTTTAAGTTAGCTATTCTTTATTCTTGATTTTAGACCATGCCGAAGGCTTGTGCCATTCGAAGGGCGTAGATTACAGTGGAGAAAAAGATTCACTGCGGATCTAACTTCAGTGGCGAACTTGATGGAGTCTGGTCAGTTACTACCCCCGTTGAATTGCTCTCAATTGATTGGCTTCTTGTCATTCGAAGGGCGCAAGTTGGAAAATCTTGACACTTAAAATGATTAATCAGTAACACAAGAATAATTTTAGTCCCCACTTGGCTGAGTCTGTAAGCAACCTACCCTCGGGAAGCCCCGAACACTTTTCTTTAATACGGATTATGGATTATTGAAGGCCAATAACTAAGAATATAGATTCGCCGACATCGCTATTGAGTCAGCCAATTGTCCGACTATCGCTGCTTTAGTCTGTGTGTCGAACAGGAAGTCAGCTAGCGTCATAATCATATATAAACGATATACAATATTATTCCCTTTAGACCACTCACCCAGATGCCAAGTGGCACATGTATTTTCCCAAGTATGGCCGCAGTACCGGATCCAATAATCTGTTATCCCCACAGAAATGCTTTCAAGGGCCATGGCATCTTCACTCCTCGTGGGGTTGAATAATGGAGCTCGGAGATGAAAACTGAGCCCTGATCTAAATGGGCTGGTGGATCCGGTGTTGCTTTGAACAGCTGAATCAACCAAGAGAATATCCGCTACTTACATCTCAGTGTTTTCTTTTGATCCCTTTTTTTGCGGAACTAAGCGGATTTCGGAGTTGTAGATACTTTATCTTTGGCATGTATTTTCTTAATGCTTCTCCACGATCACACCACCTGCCCTATCCTTCCATCACAAATATGGCCACAAGCAATCCCATTATTATAGCAAAAAAACGTATGCGAACTGTTTCCCGAGATCGAACCCCTCAACTAGTTAAACTCCCTCCGGCCCCTCCGAAGTCCTAGCGAGCGAAAGCGGCGACTTTGAAGGCCACGATGCGGAACAGGTCCGAATGATGGACGAGGTCTGCATTGTGCTAGATCGAGATGATAACCCTATAGCCCAAGTAAGCAAGCGGGTAAGTAAGTCTTGCAATACTTCCTCTTTATCTGAGCTTGACTGATGTTTTCCCTAGGCCACATCATGACAAATATCAACAAAGGACTCCTTCATCGCGCATTCTCATGCTTTGTCTTCAATTCAAAGAACGAGTTACTATTACAACAGCGTGACGACACAAAAGTTATATTTCCGGGATTGTGGACAAATACCTGCTGCTCCCATCCACTCGATATTCCCGGAGAGAGAGATGATGATTTTGCGGGTGCTATAGCAGGCGTGAAGCGAGCGAGCAGGGCAGAGGAAATTACTCCAGGAACTAGGAATCCACTCTATGCAGGTGCTGTTAAATAATTTTGTGTTCCTAACACGCGCGCATTACAGGGCTGCTAGTGATGGGAAATGGGGGGAAGCATGAAAGTAAGAGCCTCCAGGAGAGAGTTTGTGGTATGCATGTGGACGCTAATAGTCATATCTAGTGGATTATACCTTTTCTTACAAGTTGATGTCGATCTTGCTGTCAATCCCAACGAAGTCAAGGAGACACGGTGGGTGTCTCCGGAGAAGCTTAGGGATATATTCAAGGATCCCTCATTGCAGTATACACCTTGGTTTCAGTTGATCTGTGAGAGTTTATTATTTAAGTGGTGGGCGGCTCTGGGAACGCTTGAATTCGACCAGTATAAGGGGGAGAGCGAGATTCGGCACATGTAGCAGAACTGGTTGGTGGGTGTGTCCACATTTATATATACAAGTCTTATTGTAGGACTCTGACAATCTCGGCTACTCCTTTTAATGGGACATGCGTATCCTAGTTTTTGCATCTATATAACATAACTATGCGCTAAAGCATAGGAAGACTGCATGCAGTCTATGAGCTTCATAGTATTGGTACTAACTGCTCTTAATATTCTACAACCGACATAACTCTACTACTCTTTGGTAACGATTTCCGCGCCCGGATAAAGTCTTCACTTAAACACTATACTCCTTTTCGTTGCAACACCCTCCAACCTTTCAACATCCACAATTGCCCTCTCATGCGTCCCGCGACCGATCTCGCCTGCCTCATCCCTCGCAACGACCTCAAATTGAAAGATCTTGCCATTCGTCCCAACAAATTCAGCTGTCGCTGTAACTTTACCGCCAACAGGCGTAGGCGCAGAATGAGCGACGTCCACTCGTGTTCCCACAGACAGCTGTTTCTCATCCAGACATGACTGGAGGAGCCGTGCTGCAGCGATCTCCATGAATGCGATCAACTTGGATGTAGCAAGTACGCGGGGGAATTTATCAGTTGTTGTATCCAAAGCAATTTCACTAGCGAGATCGGCTCTTTGGACGACTACGTTATAGCTGCGCTTGGTGTTTAGAGCAAGGAACCGTGGGAGGGTAGACATATTTCGTCGGAAGAAGAGGTAACTAGAAGTTGGAGTTCGAGTAGAAAGATACTGGAGTCTAGTGAGCAGCATCAAGGCTATGAATAATTGAATCAATTGATTGGAGTTGTTTTGACGTGGACATTAAGTGGCTACAGCAAACACTATTTATTAAAGACTCTCACCGAGGTATTCAGTAAAGTATCTCCGAACATCAGCAGGTTTCCTATTTATCACAGGCCTGCTATTGTGGGTAAAGGGCAACCCAACGTCAATTTTATGACGACTATAATTTGTGTGCTTACCAGCGGTCGGATTAAGAGCCAGTCAATCTGGCCTTCCCGAGTTCATCCGGTATTCGCTACTTTTCACTATTAAACAGCATTCTTAATGTAACAAGACACCTTGCCTTACGTTTTTCGCAATCTGAACTACCAGGTTAGCTACGTATCTGGTACGATGACTAGCAGGATAGCCACGTGGGGTATGCAATACAGAGCAACTTCGAGTATATACCGGGATGGATATCGTTCTTACTTCTGTCAATCTGCCGCCTGCAAATGTGGATCATTGCACGAGTTGTTCGAGTAAGTTGTTCGGCAATGTTGGAATGAGGCATATTGTTCATACAAGGATCGATCAAAGATTCGAGTAAATGTACATAAAAATAGAATACCGCATAAGGTTTATGTTTTCCATGAAAAGAGTATTACAGCCGCCCTCATTTTAAGGAGGATTGCTCAACAAAAGGACTGCGGTACCTAAATTCTTGGCGGTGGGGCCAACAAACAATTCACAAGTGTTTGAAGGTCAGACCGATTTCGAGAAACACTGTAGCCGTCTCTTAGGTCAGCAGACCCACCACGCAGGCTTTTAGGACCAGGGGAGATTTGGGGCCACTTGAATTACATTCTCCTTCTTTTGGGAGAAACATAGGGGTGCTCAAAAGAGGAGAGAGATAAAATTGAGGTCCTGGCGGTGTAAGAATCTTGAAGTATTAAGAACACGCGATAGTGGCAAAGATTCGAAAGCAAGACAAAAGCTTTGTTCAGGGAGGTTGTTCAACAATTCAAGAGACGAACAAGACAGACGCTTCGCTATTTGTAGTTTCCCAAAGCCTCATGAGATCCAAAGCTCGCAATTTCATTCCGGTAAGATTCAATAGGATGTGCAGCAAAACTAAGATCAACAAGCTTTTCTATCAGAGTATGAGAAAGAAACGATCCAGTAATCCTAGCATGTGTACTGCACCCATACCATAGCTTATCCCAATGCCTATAATTCCCTGTCGTCTCACAATCATCCGAATCAGATTTCGAAAGTGAGAAAGGAGGGAAACAAGGAAATAAGGGTGGGAAAAATGAGAAAAGAGTTGGACATAAAAAAAGATACAGTGAGTGAGTCGAGGCAAACTGAAAAGAAGGCATTAGATTGGAGGAAACCCAGATTGAGGACGAAGATCGCACAGTGGTGTGATCTAAGTTTTGGGGGAGCCGGCGACGCATGGGCAAAGACCATGCCGAGGAAGGACGAATAAGGCTCCTTGGGAATGATGCTGGGCTATAAAAAGATGGCACAGACAGGATAGAAGAACAGGAGAAGGATGCACCGTCTGAAAACGCAGTTGAATAAGAAGACGACCGGGAGACCACGAAGGAAACTCAAGACGATAGAACGATGGGATGGAGAAGTAGCAGCAAATAAAAAGGTCTACAAATCCTTGAAACAAAGCTCATACGACGCCGACGGTCAAAAAAGCGGTCGACACGGTTATGGCGTTCGGCGGATGAGGCGGTACTTCCCTGTATAGGATAGATTTGCTCGTGTCGTGGCCCAGAGCGGAGTCTTCGGCAGTGTTTTAGCGCCTCTGATTCGGGCTTTTCCTTTGCTCCACCGACAAGAAGCCG